AGACGCTTAACCGACTGAGCAACCCAGGCGTCCCTCTGATTGTCTTTAAATGAATGTTGTTTACCTAAGCTAGACTACTTGAGATAAACTTCAGAGAAATTGCCACAATAGCTCGTGTATAGACAATCTTCTTGCTTGTTATTCTGTGGGGATAAAAACAGGACCTCATGGGCATATGATTATTTGAACAGCTGAAAAATGGGATTAATCCCCCAACAACTGTATAGTTCAACTATCACCTTGACCAGTTCTGTGTGGTTGGGATGACAAAATCCTTCCCTAAAACCCAGAGCGTACTGCACTCCAATGGGTTAACGATGGACTTATGGAGATAATGGATGACCCCGCTTTCTTTATGATTGGATTGGATAACGTACTTGGGGATGCCCTTAACTCTTGACAAGTTTTCTCCCGCTTACCAGTGATTCTTTGTAATTAGGATAGATTGCTCATTGGGGAGCCTGCTTGAAGATTCTCTTCCTTCTGCCCCTCCCTCCACTCTCTCAAATAAATAAAAACATCTATTAAAAAAACTGATAGAGACACCTGGGTGGCTCAGTTGGTTAAGCGTCTGCCTTCAGCTCAGGTCATGGTCCCAGGGTGCTGGGATCGAGTCCCCCATCAGGCTCCTTGCTCGGCGGGAGCCTGCCTCTCCCTCTGCCTGCCTCTCCCTCTACCTGCTGCTCCCCCTGCTTTCTCTCTCTCTCTCTCTCTCTGACAAATAAATAAAATCTTTAAAAACAAAAAACAACCTGATAGACCAGAAAGTAGAAATAGATAAATCCGCCATTACAATTAGAGACTTCAATATTCTTCTCTCAACAATTGATAGACCTCCTACCCAGAGAATCAGCAAGGATATAGAAGAACTCAGAGGAAGCATGAACCAGCATGATCTAAGTCACCATCTGTGGGACATGCCACGCAGCAACTACAATATCTTGACTGTATCAATGTCAGTATCCTGGTTATGGTTTTGTACTATGGCTTTGCAAGATACTCCTTAGGGAAAACCAGTACAAGAGTACAAGGAATCTTTCTGTATTATTTCTTACAACTCCATATGAATCTAAAATTACCTAGAAGATTAAAAATGTAGTGAAAAACTACTTCTCATTTTAAAGTACTCAGAAAGGTTATACATGTTGTTTATAGTCCTAAGACCAGTATTTAGAATGTGCACAACATAATCTCAGACTTAAAAACTCTGTCTTCATAGATTTAGGCAAAGATCATTCGTAGATGAAACCATAAGAAGAAAGATGGATGGAGAACTTTATGTGGAGGGAGCAGGCTGACATCACATGAATGCTCTGCTTGATCTCAGCATTACTAGGAGTGAGTCAACCATGCTATTTGTGCCTTCCTGGTGTGATGCATCAGGAAGTACACAGCACACACAAAAAATCTTTTTTTAATTTAGATTCAATTAGCCAACATATAGTTTGTCACTGATGAAGTATTCTTAACAAAGAAAAGAAAAGAAAAAGAAACGGAACTAGAATGTGAACTTCCATTTGACAAGAATTATGACGGGATAGAGGAACAAGTTGACTAAAACTATGACCATGCAAACCTAATGTGGGACATATTGCAGCCTGATTGACGGGTCTCTTCAACAAGGGACTGGGGGGTTGGGAGGGTTGTGGGGAGTGTAGAGAAGGCTGAGACTACTGAAGTTTTTTTTTTTTTTTAAAGATTTTATTTATCTATTTGAGAGAGACAGCGCGTGCGCAAGCAGGGGGAGTGGGACAGGGAGACAGAGAAACAGGCTGTCCACTGAGCACGGAGGACAACGCAGGGCTCAATCCCAGGACCCCAGGATCATGACCTGAGCTGAAGGCAGATGCTCATCAATCTGAGAAATTTATTCTTTTATAATATGTCCTTGTGGTACTACAAATTTCCCTCTTAGAACTACTTTAACTATACCTCAGAAAATTTGATATGTCATACTTCCACTTTCAAAATTATTCTAATTTCCCTGG